AAATTGCAATTAACAATTTGCCGGTTGGGTATCGTATCTGGGTTGCTCGCGTACTGTGAAATTTACACCGAGCACTTAGCCACTGAGCATCATGTCTCTAATATATGAGAGGGTTTTACTGCAAAGAAATGTTCGCTGGGGTGCCCCAATGTTCACGTGGTAGAGTCATGCTGCAGTTATATTACTAGTATAGTTGTAGCACGAATGGGTCGGCTCACCGGAACGGACCACGCTCTCACAGAATATCACCCTAAAATAGCTAATACTGCTGTGTTTCGTATGGTGAGTGTAGAGAACCGGAGACCCTTTTTACTGGAAAAGAGGCATTCCATCTTAGTCCTCAATGATGGCAACGCGTCTGCATTTGTATTCGCAAAACGAAGATAGATGTAAATGTCTATTGGCCACAGCCACCACTTACCATCAGGTGGATTGTGTGCTTATTTGTCACCCTATCCAATAAAAAAAATGTATGTTGGCGAACTTCACATGTCGTCGAATTCTTTCAATTTCTTGAATATGCAGGTTTCATCACGATGTTTTCTTTCACCGCCAAACACGTGGTGATGAGAACCGTCTTAAGTTAAGCTAAGTGCATGTAAACTTCGCTGTGCGCTAGCAACCGGAGTTCGAATCGGCCAGCACCAATTACATTGTTAAAATTGCATTTTTTAAGTAAATGAGTATTGTATTGATTGATAAATTCCCTAAACAGTATATCATATTTAAAAATAACAGCAGTACTAAACCTAAAGCTTATTTCTTTTTTCATTTACGTTGGATGAACAATGATTTGTGGTTATCGTAACGCACCAACCAATATAATTTCACAGTCCACCTGATGGTAAATGAATGATGTGGCCGATAGACATCTACATTTATGCTCGATTAAGAATCAATGTCAGCCCTAAGGACTAAGATGGAATGCTTCATTTCCAGTAAAAAGTATCTTCGGTTCTCTGCACTCATCACACGAAACACAGCAGCATTAAGGTGCTATTTCACGCTGGTATTCTGTGAGAGCGTGGTCCTTCCCCGGTCGAGCCGACCCATTCGTGCTACAAACATAATAAACGATTACGTGTACGATTAAATAAGAGATTGCATAAAAGTTTACATATAGAAAATAATATAAATAATATAGCTGCAGTCTGGCTCTACCGCGTATAATCAATCGATAGAGCAATCATTTTGTAATATCCAGGTTTCGCCTCCCCATGTATTTTAAACATCAAAGCTGCATATAACGCATAGGGCTGCCTACTTTTTATACAAGAAATTAAGTATATTAAGGTCGGTGAGCAAAAATAAACACTATTTAGAAAAACAAACAGTATTTAGAGAAATAAGCAGTATTTTAAAAAATGAACAGTATTTTAGAAAACAAAGAATATTTTTATATTTATGAATTCTTAAAAAATAACTTTTGGTGCTTCTTACACAGTTTATTAATTTATTATCTTTTTTTATATTATTCGTAAGTCTTTCGACGTTTTGATTCGAATTAAAAATAAATGAGGCGCTAATTTTTTTTTTTTAATAAATTAATTGATTTTTTGGCTCCGGCTAAAAGCGAGCATGGAAACAGCATATTGTATATTTTTTTAATAGAACAGTATTAAAGATCAAAATAATGAATGATGCTGTTTTAATAGTGTGGTTGGCAACCCTTAAAGCGCATTCGCCTCACCATTTTGCATAACCACCTACACAACTACAACTAGCTGCGAGCATCCCTGTACCGATCGATTCAGCTCAAATCTACCTGTACTGAACATGCGCTCTAGGCTAGATTCTAGAATATTCTAGCGCGCATGCACTAGTCGATATTATTGCATAGATTTTACATATTTTTAACTTCGCCTCCCGTCTCCCTGTATCATACCGGGGCGATATGAGCGCCCCATACCCTTCCCGCTCCGTTATGTATAGCTCGTAGAGGTACATAACGGAGCGGGCGGGTTACGTGTAGACGTACATATTACGGGTATATCTATTCTGTTTTTTGGTACATAACTGTAAGAATAAAATTTATAAATAATGTAATACGTGGTAGAGATGCTGTGACTATATTATGGTTGTAGCACGAATGGGTCGGCTTGACCAGGAAGACCACGCTCTCACAGCGTACCAGCGTAAAACAGCAGCTTAATGCTGCTTTGTTTTGTATGGTGAGAGTAGAGAACCGGAGACCCTTTTTACTGATAACGCGGCACTCTATCTTATTACACAGCAGTAATAACGTGTTTGAATTTACTTCTTGATCGAGGATAAAATGTAAATGTTTATGGGCCACAGCATCCACTTACCATGAGGAGGACTGTGTGCTTGTTTGTCCCTTATATTCTATAAAAATGGTAAGGAGCCGTAGTAGATCCGCTCGCTGTAAATTCCACAGTACGCGAGCCGGGGATTCGAACCCGCCAGCACCGATGACGTTGATAATTGAAATTTGAACCACGCACTCGGTGGTGAAGGAAAACATCATGAGGATACCTGCATGCCCGAAAAATAAATTCGTAAAATACTACGAATTACACGCAGTAGACAAGTGCTGCGGAATCATTGTTCTATAGCGCTCTTAGAAATGAGAGTAGATCTGTGCCTAGCTGTGAGACGTACGAAATATAGGCTGCTACTTTACTCTTAACCTTACATCTATGTCTATAGCTTATTCAAATAGTAATTATTTGTCTGTTGTTTAAGTAACATACAATCTTTATACTCAGTCCATATTTGTTCATCATCGCCATCATCATCATTACAGTCTATCAAAATCCACTGCTGAACATAGACCTCCCGATAGATTGCTTCGTAGGAAGGATGTTTGCCATAGCTGTCGCGATTGGAAAACGGGTTGCCACCGCAGTTTTTTTTGCTTTTGATCTGCTGTTATCAGCGAATATGCTTCTGCCAATCTCCTAGTTCAGTTTCTTTCTGTCGCCTCTTACGATAACCACGTGATAATTTGGGGTAGTGGATATTATTATAACGCAACTACGAGGTTAAAATTAAACACGTTTATTTTTATATAATATTTCTTCTTAATGGGATAGCAAACGCAATTTTTATTACTTTCAGTTGTTATGTTTTATTTTCTGAGTGTTATTAGGAAGTCGCTGCTGCCCACCTCCTGGTTTGGTTGCCTCGGTCGCCTATTACAACACCCTCGGTTACGTAGTAACTATTAGTGAACATGTGCCCTCGGGACCTAATGTGATAGTGGATATTCTTGCACCGCCACTACCATTTATTACACAAAACCAGACCCCAAGGGTAACCAAGGGGACCCAAGGGTGCCAAACACGGCGGCAAGTTGCAGATTGCAACTGTGATGGGAGCTTGAGTGGCACCGTACTCCGGATCAGACAATGACCCGAAGAGCCAAGAGGGGTATCGACGTAGTCCATATAAGAGGTCAGCAGAAGGTCCAACAAGGAAGGTATATGATCCTCCACATCCGGATCCGCGTAAGCGAAGTAACCAGTTGTGTCAGACCATATGCCAAGGCAAAGTCATCAACAGATCTACCCGCATGATCGGTTAAACGGGAACCTAACCATTCAGCGTAGTGGGCGTTAAAATCAACAAGCATCACGATCTCTGCGGAAGGGACCTGTTGTAGCACGGAGTCTGCAGCCATTTGGACATGGTCGATGAGTCGGTCTGTGTTGGCATTATCGCTATGGGACCTGTAGAGGCGCCCATAGACGCGGAGATGATCGTCACTACGATCGTACGCGTATCCATAGGATGGACGTCGAAAACAGATGTCCTCTCTGACGTACATGTAAACGCCAGCCCGGGGCAAAAAGCAGTGTTCTAATTTGTACCCCGGGTAGGAGAGATACGAAGTATTAGCCGGAGAGGACACCTATGTCTCGGTTAGAAAGAGCAAAGCCGGCTTTGCTATCTCCAGATGGTAGTGGACTTCGTTAAGGTTTAAATGAAGTGTCCTGATATTTCAGAAATTCACGGAAAGCGTGGCAGGGGTTGCCTTTGTCTTCTTGCTCCGCTTGCCCCGAGCAGGTATCGTATTGAGCGGAATGTTGCCGCCCCCCCCCCCCCTTCCCCCTCCCTCCCCCTCGAATACGCAGCGCAGCCTGAGCATGGGCGTGGATGCATCGATTAACAATTTTATGAGTCTCGAGTGATAATAACAGTTTTAAATGGACAACAAACCTTAATTTTTTTTGTAAGCAACTTGTAATAACTGCTTATTTGCTTATAATTTATTCGTTATAGAAACAGAATAGAAACAGAAGAGAACATATTAAAGTCTACTGCTGAACATAAACCTCCCCCATGGATTGACTTTTAGGGGGATATTTAGCATAGATGCCCCGTTTGGCAAGCGGGTTGGCAACCACAGTTTTTTATTTTTAGTCGTAGGAAGACGCTGCTGCCCATCTCCTGGTTTGTTTCCCTCTGTCGTTTCTTACGACACCCACGGGATGATATGGGGTAGTGGAGACATGATTAGTACCTACGAAGAAATTAAACGAAACGAAAATTTATACGTGGTAGAATCATGCTGCAGCTATATTACTAGTATAGTTGTCTCACAGAATACCAGCGTAAGATAGCAGCTTAACGCTGCTGTGTTTCGTATGGTGAGTGTAGAGAACCGGAGACCCATTTTACTTAAAAGATGCATTATATCTTAGTCCTCACGGCTGACAACACATCTGTATTTTCATTCTTTATTGAGGATAGATGTAGGTGTCTATAGGTCACAGCAACCACTTACCATCAAGTAGACTGTGTGCTCGTTTGTCGCCCTACCCTATAAAAAAGCTGTATTATTATCAACAATCATCCTAGATGGCGCTATTTCAAAAATTCATCAAAATGCAGACGAGCCTGTTTAATTTAGGAATAAGCAATTTACGTTAAATTTATTTTTATATTTAATCTGTTAAATTGCTTACATTGAAAAGTCCTGTTATATTATTTGATTGTTGTTAAAATGTGCGTCTATATTTAGAACAATTACTCACCCAGGACATGACGGTGCTCGGACCAAGTCGACAGAGATCCGAGGGCTGACGTCATTGGCCGAAGCTCTCCAGGCTGTAGCCTCGTCGCTCATGCACTGTGTTTCGCAGACGTCACTGTCCATCGATTCGTCTAGATATTTCAAACATTAACTTTTAATAAAAATTACATAAAGGTTCTCCAAATAATTTAAAAGAATATAATAAATGATGGAAAACAAACCAGGAGATGGTCTTCGACGACTAAAATTAAAAAGTGTTACCCTAACCGTCCAGCTGATTTCTTCAAGTACATCAATAAACTTCTACTGCATTAACAAAGATGCATCGATTTCAAAGGTGATTACTTTGATTAATAGAAATAAAAAATATTTCAAGAAAAATACGTTAACTTATTTCTTAAAAAACGTCAATTTCATGGGTTACCTAAGTTTTAAGTTTGTTCTATAAAAAAAAAAAACACAAAATTGAATATGTGACATCATTGTGCGCCTCTTATTTTAAGGTAAAGTCAACACTTTGTAAAATTCACCGCTAATATTTGCAAACCGACCGTCATTTCCAAAAATATTTTACACATTTTTTTAATATTTCAAAGAATTGTATGATGCCTTCAGGGACTACTTTGGGTGACTTCAGGGACCACCAATAGTCTACGGACCACCGGTAAAAAACCACTGGTTTGGCTGGACTTGAGCTGCTCTCGTAGACAGAAAAATTTACTCGAGTGACCCAGCTTAGAAGATGGTTTGGTGACCGCTGGATCGTTGGGTCACCGAAATTAGAGTTTTTTGTAGAAAAGTAAAATAAAAATAATATTTTGGTAGAGTACACCCACTGTACCAATTATTGTTTTATATTATATTTCACCTAGTAGTGGAAATTCACCAGAATTTGACCATAATTTGATAATGGCCTTAGAGTAGTAACATAAATAGACTGGTAGAAAATGCCTTAGGCATTAAGTACGCCTATATACCACATGTGTATATGAAGTTTTAAATAAATAAATAAATAAATAATATGCTTGTCTGTCTGAGACATCGGCTGTATGAGCGTAAACAATATACATATGTTTTATTTTATTTTATTTATTTGCAACAAGTATTAAATGTAAAAATTTTAACTTTCTGCACTCCTCAAAATAAACTTTAACTCACACTCAAACTCAACTCAATGTTTTAACAATTTCAAAAGAACACTAACTACTACAAACCAGGTAATGATACAAAAAGTTTTTTATAGCATAAAGCGACAAACGAGAACACAGTCCACCTGATGGTAAGTAGTTGCTGTGGCCCATAGACATCTACATCTATCTTCGTTTGCGAATCAAAATGCAGAATGCGTTGTCACCCGTGAGGACTAAGATGGAATGCCTCTTTTCCAGTAAAAAGGGTCTCCGGTTCTCTACACTCACCATACGAAACACAGCTGTGTTAAGCTGCTATTTTACGTTGGTATTCTGTGAGAGCATGGTCCTTCCCCGGTCGAGCCGACCCATTCGTGCTACAACTATACTACTAATATAGCTGCAGCGTGCCTCTACCACGTGTAGAAAAGCTAACTAGGAATTAATACAGTTCTCGCATATATTTTTATATCACCTCTGCGGGTTGTCCTGCTGCCCAAATGCGACAGGTTCATGAAAATGCCGTCGTTGTCGCTGATGCTGTGACTTGACTGCGGCTTCGTCAGCTGTGCACTGCAAGCCTTTTTAAGTACACTCTGTAAAGAAAGATATCTAATGATTCTTTCACTTCACTTTCACAAGTGGAACATATTAAAATTTTATATCAATTTTACTTTATATGTATTATAATATAAGTAATTTACACATTATCATAAACAGACTACCAACTACGAAAGGCGTGTATTGGGCTCGTCTTCTGTCATGTAACTAATCATTAAGTTATAATTTGAGAAATTTCGACATTACTAACGTGTTTTATAAGACAGCTCAAATAGTGTTACTATACTTTTTCTTGCCATACGTGATCCAGAAATTTTGGTGGCCATCCCGAGATACGCGCGTAAAATTCTGAACACTTAAATAATTTAATACAAAATCACTTTAAGCACTCTCTGTAAAGAAGAAGATCTAATTATTTTTAGCAAGATGCGCCTTAAAATTGTCTGGTGTCCACTCCGGGATGAACTCAAAAGGTCACGGGTTCGAATCCGTCATTCGGCTACTGTCGTGTATTACACCTAGCCTGTAATAAGAGAATATTAGTCGGTAATGTTGATAGCATTGCTAGTATTAAAAAAAGGAGTACTAATTTCTGTCCCTGTATATGTGATAGGATACTAACAATAAACGTGGTCTCCTGCCCATCTGAATAATTAAAGAAACACTAATATGACTTAAGTATAACATGTTTTTATTGTTTTGTGTATTACATAAAAATTGTTTCAATATAGATAATATATGATAGAGTTTTCTTTAAAAAAATCTCCTGCTTTTCGCTGGTTATTCGTAGGACTTTTCTCAACTAGTGATATATAAGAGTAACTCTCAATCATCATCATCATCATTACAGCCCTTCACGAGTCCACTGCTGAACATGGGCCGGCTCGAACCGGGGTGGTACCACGACCTCACAGAATACCAGCGTGAAGTAGAGGTTTACCTCTGCGTTTCGCTTGGTGAGTGCAGGTAGCCGGAGGCCCTTTTTACTGGGAATGAGGCATTCCATCTTAGTCCTCACGGGTGACAACGCATCTGCATTTTGATTCGCAAACGAGGATAGATGTAGATGTCTATGGGCCGCAGCAACCACTTATCATCAGGTGGACTGTGTGCTCGTTTGTCACCCTTATCCTATTAAAAAAAAACATAGGCCTCTCCCAAGGAATGCCACAAAGCACGATCCTGAGCCAAAGTATAATTATTATTTATTTAATAAGTATTATTTATTCTTCCTATTTCTGTTTCTATTTCTATCGCTTAGATTCAGAGCTACTGTGGTTTTACCACATCATGACGGTGCCTACTAATTGTTTGTCACAGCTCAAGTGAAGAATCTAGTGTCCCATACCCTGTAATTGTAATGTTTAGACGTGTCGGGTATTGAAGGCCGACTGTGGCGCCACCTAGCGGCCTGCCGTTGCAAGTCGCAAAGCCTGTGGTGCGACCAGGAGGTGTTCATGCCACGTAGCTCTTCCACCGCACAAGCTATCTGAGAACAAAATACGCAATGACATGTTATTTGTGTTTAAGTATTTTTCTTAAGTTATATTTCTTTTGGGGCGTTTGGAAAAAATCATGAAAGGGAATTTTTACGATGTGTGCGCTCAGCGACACCTAACAAACGACACCATGATGTTGTTGCGATACGCGCGCACACAGTGTGTAACTGTCTCTCAAGTTTTCGTAGGAACTGATAACTATATTTAAGGTAGTTGGTTTAGTTTTTTTTTTTAGGATAAGGGTGACAAACGGGCACACAGTCCACCTGATGGTAAGTGGTTGCTGTGACCCATAGACATCTACATCTATCCTCAATAAAGAATTATGTATAATTCTTGAATATATGATATCAAAAAAAAAACATCCCCTCAGTTATCTTTTTTTCCTCTACCAAATAGTAAATCTGTATATTATGAATAAAGCCCTACTAATCTCCTGGTCCACAACATATAGACAAGCTAGAAGTAGAACATTGCTAAACGCATCAAAATTCATTCTTATAGTTTGCATTATTCTTTTATTAAAAAAAACTAAATACGTCCCACTCTAGGATTTTCTTTTGTATCGTAGAGGCAGTGTACATACGTAAAGTGCACAAGAACAAAAACATCCAGATCCTAAACAATTTTTTGCAGGCCATAAAAAACTTGTACTCTGTGGGATTGAATATCGAACCCGCGGTCCGCAGCGCCGCAACTCTTTGTTAAGCCACTGCACCATGGAGCCGTCAAAATTGCTTGAAATGTCATGTTTTTATACCTGATTGTCCAGTCTTTATGTATATTTATATCTTTCGTTTACAATTATATATTTAAACAGCCCAATCAGATGAGAAAACTTTATAGATAACCCAGGAAATAATGCAATCAAGTACCGACCGTAATTTAATAAGTTTAACAGCGCATATGAATGGACCGCATTAGAGCATTTCTCGCGTATTTTATAGATAGAATGACAAACGAGCACACAGACCACCTGATAGTAAGTGGTTGCTGTGGCCTTTAGACATCTAAATCTATCCTCTATTACAAATCAAAATGCAGATGCGTTGTCACCCGTGAGGACTAAGATAGAATGCCTCATTTCCAGTAAAATGGGTCTCCGGTTCTCTTCACTCACCATACGAAACACAGCAGCATGAAGCTGCTATTTTACGCTGGTATTCTGTGAGAGCGTGGTCCTTCCCCGGTCGAGCGGACCTATTCGTGCTACATCATCATCATCATTCATCATTACAGCCCTTCACAAGTCCACTGCTGAACATAGGCCTCCCCCAAAGAATGCCACAAAGCACGGTCCTGAGCCACCTGCATCCCTCGACTTCCTGCATGTCTTACCAGGTCGTCACTCCATCTCGTGGGGGGACGCCCTACACTTCGCCTACCGGTACGAGGCTGCCATTCGAGAACCTTTCTTCCCCATCGGTTGTCGGTTCTTCGAGCTATATGGCCGGCCCACTGCCACTTCAGCTTACTAATCCGTTGGGCTATGTCGGTTACTCTGGTTCTACTGCGGATATCCTCATTCCTAAGTTTATCACGCAGAGAAACTCCGAGCATAGCCCTCTCCATAGCTCGCTGAGCGACCTTGAGCTTCCTCATACGGCCAGCAGTGAAGGACCACGTCTCAGTTCCATAAGTCATCACTGGCAACACGCACTGGTTGTACAATTTCGTTTTCAGGTTTTGAGGTATGTCTGACGAGAAGATGTGTCGTAGCTTCCCGAACGCTGCCCAGCCGAGTTGAATCCGTCGATTGACCTCTCGGTCGAAGTTGGACTTACCTAGTCGGACTATTTGTCCCAGGTAAACATACTCGTCAACAACTTCGAGCTTAGTGCTCCCAACAACTACCGGCATAGGTGTGACATGGACATTGAACATGATCTTTGTTTTGTCCATGTTCATCTTAAGACCTATCCGTTGGGAAACACTATCAAGGTTCGTGCTACAACTATACTACTAATATAGCTACAACATGGCTCTACCACGTAAAATTTTGTTATTTTTGTTACGTTAAATTATAACTTCCTACGTGCGTCCATAAGTACACACACACACACACGTTTTTTTTAATAAACAATTATTTATCAACAAATTTATATATCATTAGATTAATTTGAATTTACGTAGTAGAGCCACACTGCAGTGTAATAATAATAACAGAAGATAGTCCACCAGACCGAATTTCAGTCACGGCGGCCAGTCTCTACGGAATCAGAACAGAAACGTATCTGCGCAGGGTTATAACGCACGTATGTGTGCGCAAACACAGGTGCACTCTCTATTCCTTTTTTTTTTTTTTTTTTTTTTTATAGGAGAGGGGGCAAACGAGCATGCGGCTCACCTGATGGTAAGTGACTACCGCCGCCCATGAACAACCGCAACACCAGGGGAATTGCAGATGCGTTGCCGGCCTTTTAAAAAGGAGTAGGCTCTTTTCTTGAAGGTCCCTAAGTCGTATCGGTCCGGAAAAATCGCTGATGGTAATCGATTCCACAAGGAAGTCGTGCGAGGAAGAAAACATCTTCCAAATCGCACAGTGGTGGACCGCCAATCATCCAGATGGTGTGGATGGTATAGGGAGTTCTGCCGCGATGTGCGTTCATGAAATTTGGCGGCTGGGATTAATCCGAACAATTCCTCAGAGCACTCCCCATGGTAGATGCGAAAGAAAATGCAAAGAGATGCAACATCTCTTCGCAGTGCCAATGAATCGAGCCGATCGGAAAGGGCTCGGTCGTCGACGATTCGAGCCGCTCTGCGCTGGATGCGGTCAAGTGGAAGGAGCTGGCACTGGGGAGCCCCTGCCCAGAGATGGGAACAGTATTCCATGTGAGGCCGAACCTGCGCCTTGTAAAGTTGCAGGCGGTGTGCCGGCATGAAATACTGTCCCGCTCTGCTGAGCACGCCAAGCTTTTTAGAGGCCAATTTGGCCTTCTCTTCCAAGTGACCACGAAACTGCACGTCACTCGATATGTCGACTCCGAGGATACCGATACTGGCTGAGGCAAGAAGAGGAGTGCCTTGAAACTGAGGAGATACGACAAAGGGGTTCTTTTTAGCGGTAAACGCGCAAACTTGTGTCTTCTGAGGATTAAACTGGACTAGATTTATTCGCCCCCAATCCGAGACTTTGTCCAGCAAAGACTCGACTTCAGACACAAGTTTGTTCCGGTACTCGGCGACATTTTCCCGAGAAATATTGGCCCGGCCGGTGTATAGAGCATCACCAGTGCTGTCATCCGCATAGCAATGAATGTTACCAGTCAGCAACATATCATTGATATGCAGAAGAAACAGCGTTGGTGATAGCACACAGCCTTTATTCTCATAGTCCCATGGAACGGCAATCCGACACGAGCGGAGATCAGGCGTAGTTCTACGAACTTAACAATAACGTTACCGTTACAGCCTATTAAAGTTCACTGCTGAACATAGACCTCCCCTATAGATTGCCTCAAATATTTGCCATATTTTTTTTTAGTCCTTATTAAGAATACTATGTTAAAATATCCTCCATATGAGGCAATTCGGCAGTGAACTTTAGAAGGCTGTGACGGAATAAAGGTGGCAAACAAGCACACAGTCCATAAGCTTCTACATAGCTCTATCACGTAAACCTATAGATAAATTATTAATTAAATTACTGTAATAGATTATAAAGGACATAAAACGGATAGACAGTTCATAAAGAACTAGAACAGATTGCAACTTTACAAAGCGCAAGTTCGGCCTCACATGGAATACTGTTACACCCCAGTGCCAGCTCCTTCCACTTGACCGCATCCAGCGCAGAGCGGTTCGAATCGTCGACGACCGAGTCCTTTCTGATCGTCTCGATACACTGGCACTGCGTAGAGATATCGCATCTCTTTGCGTATTTTATCGCATCTATCACGGGGAGTGCTCTGAGGAATTGTTCGGACTAATTCCAACCGCTCAATTTCACCATCGCACATCGCGACAAAACTCGCGTTACCATCCATACCATCTGGATGATTGGGGGTCCACCACTGTGAGATTTAGAAGAAGTTTTCTCCCTCGCACAACTTCGTTGTGGAATCGATTACCACCAGCGATTTTTCCGGACCGATACGACTTAGGGACCTTCAAGAAAAGAGTCTACTCCTTTTTAAAAGGCCGGCAACGCATCTGCAATTTCCCTGGTATTGCGGTTATTCATGGCCGGTGGTAGTCACTTACCATCAGGTGAGCCGCATGCTCGTTTGCCCCCTCTTCTATAAAAAAAAAGATAGACTGTTCATAAAGAACATAGAACGAATAGACAGTTAGAAACCTACCTCCCTCTTTTGTTCCTCCTCCGCCTCGATGGCGCGCTGGTGTAAAAGTTTTATGTCTAGTTTTCTGACTTCCTCCGCCTCCCTCGCTTGACATTTTTTTTCCTGAAAAATTAAAAATAAATTTCTGTGAAAGCTTACTCGCACACGTTCATGTAAGCGGACACTGTGGCCTTTTCTAGGTTGAGAATCAAAATAAATATGCGTTGTCCATTGAGTAATAAGAGAAAACGTCCCGTAAAAAATGTCTAAAAAGGTCTCACTAAAAAGGTCTCAAATTAAAAAAAAACTGCGGTTGCCACTCCGCCTGCCAAGCGTGGCAACTATGGCAAAATCCTCCCTGTGAGCCAATCTATGGGAGATGCCTATATTCAGCAGTGGACTTTTATAGGCTGTAATGGATGGAATGAATGGCGGGCTTGCCCCAGCCCAGCCAACTAAATCTTGGCGTAGTTAATTTACAGTTGCATAGTGAACTCTATCATTTGAAAATAGTTTCCTTATATTCATTAAATTTCTTTATCAAGTCTTTATAAAATGATTGGCATGGAATGTAATTATTAGGTACTTATTTGAGAATGGAATGAAGACATCGTAAAAGTTGAACGTTTATGATGATGATAATTATTACTTTCAATAAAAAGTGAAAGTAGGTTTTAAAGAATACAAATGAACTAAATTATATCACATTCTGAAGTAAGTAGGTGCTAAGATATTATAGTGGTATAGTGTATAAAAAAATTCAAGCCCCGACATAAGAATATGGAAAATATTTTTGTTATTTTTTGTTCTTTAAAGGAGATCGCCTATCGCAATTCTGCAGATTTAAAGTAACTAACGCCATCTAGCGGCGAAAGTACATAACTTCGCCGTATCTCATATATATTCATGCAGGTATGAAAAACTTCGTAACGATATGTATATCTTTTAAATTCAAGCTAACAGAATAATTGTGGTAATTTATGATAAAGCATACGATTATAATTTATTACAATTTACAACAAATAATAGATTGCTATCCTCCTATTTTTGAGACATTTGCTGTAGGTGATTTGATTTTTGAGACATAGCTCTTGAGCTTTCAGGTCTTTTATATTTTCTAAGAAACATAATTTACCTTTTGCACTTTTTTCTCGTGTTCAATTTTCTGCTGTTCCAGCTCTTCTTCGGGTATGGGAGGAGTTTCATCCCCACTTGAGGTATGTTTCGCGCCTGAATAAAGAAATAGTTCAAATTAATAATAAGCGTAAACTTAATGATGAATTTTCCACTGAAATTATAGTCCAAGATCCCAGGGCACCCAGACGTCACATATTTTCTCACGAATGAAATGTGTAACATGATGATTGATGATTAGTGTTAGTATGTACTATGATCACGTGATTACCTGCTAGTTTGCTCAGAGAGCCATTTTGCAGGTATAAGGTAATCAAGATACGTTAAAACTTTGCTCACCTCACATTAATTCTCCCAGCTGATTTTTGTTCGATAATATCGTTAAAAATCAGTCATCATTACTCCTAGACATTTTCCATCGGCAATATCGCTTTGCAGGCGCTTTAAAGCTATCAAAAATTACTCAATTTGACTTACCTACATTCTGAAGGTCCATTTTTATGTATGTTAGCCATACAACTATTTTAAAACGGTTTCACAAGAACGCAGACCGATCCAAGAGGTCAATCATCCCCTAGATCTTACAGCGCAGCTCGACTCACGCTCAATCTAATGGTCCCCACTCACGGTCAGTTAAACTGACATCAGTTCAACTGATGACTTCAAACGGATTTAATCCAAAAAAACTTCGACACACACGGTCAGTTCAACTGATCATTCCAACTGATCAGTTCAAACTAGGGCTGTTAATATTTTTAATTGTTCGGATTTTCAATATATCGATAATTATAAATATATCAATATCGGAGTTTTATAAATCGAAAACATAAGCGATATATCAATGCTTATTGCTTAAAAATGATTTAGAGTTTATAATTTAGTATATTTACTAAACAAATTAAATTATAAATGAATGGAAATGTTCGGTTATAATTCTTAGTAATTCGCTCGCTGTAAATTTCACAGTACGCGAGCAAACCGGGTTCGATCCCAGCCGGCACCAATGAAATTTTTAATTGCAATTATAAGTGCTGATTTACCACGTACTCGACGATGAAGGAAAACATCGTGAGGAAACCTGCATGTCTGAGAAATAAAATAAAAATTTCAAAAAACGTGAAGTTCGCCAACACACATTGGGCAGCGCGGCGGATGTTGCCCTAAAACCCTCTCAGAAATTAGGAGAGGCCTGCCCAGCTGAGGAGTGCCCAGCATTGGGACGTATATAGGCTGTAACTTTAACTTTAATTATTGTTTCATTTAAATAAGACAATTATGTTTACCAATATTTTTCAGTAAGAGTTTTAAAAAATAATCGTTGTTTTATATGTTCAGCTGTTTCAATATTGCGATTATTGGGCACTAAAAGATTGATTATAGAAGTAATTCGTTCAGATGCTACGGATGCAGCTGAAGAAATCAAATATTTAACAGCTATTTCTGATAGCACGGAAGTAAATCATAAAACGCCTAAGCGATTAAAATAACTTGAGGCTTATACCAACATCGAAGCACTTATTTCGTCGTTTTCTCTAATAGCTTACATGCGCAGACACCTAATACACGATTATTTGAACGATAAAACAGGAGCAACCATCCGTCGATGATCAAGCTCCTGCCAAAACTCACAGTAAGTAAAGTAGTACTAAGTTTAATAGATTATAGTGATTTTAATATCACAGAGATATACTATACAAGATTACATTTCTTTTTAAGATAATTAGCAAATAAATAAACTGGGGAAAAATGAAAAACATAATATAGTGTAAATAAAGTATAGTAGATTGGGTCCATCAAGGATTAGGATTTAAGTTTACGATGGTGTTGTAGATTAAATTATTTACGTGAAAAAATAAAATATTAAATTATTTAAAAAAATATATCGACTGTCTTATATGTATATTTCAATATCAAACTTATATTTCAATATATGTCGTCCAAAAATATTAGAAATAAATATCGATATTTCTAAATAATAAAATAAATTTTTCGATATATCGATATTTTGTCAACAGCCCTAGTTCAAACGTGGGGCGTGGCCGTGGGCGTTTGGTTTGCGTGACTCCTATAAAATATCATATACGTAGATAAATTAAATGATATTTAATAATATCTAAATCTTATTTTATATCATTTCCTGTATATTAATATATATCTATACAAATAAATAAAATTGAAGTGTCTGTTTGTATTGTCAAAATAACAGTTTTTACTAAATACATATTATTAAAGTACATACGGTACTAATAACAAAAACACAATTTTTAAAATTTTTGTCTGTCTTTCTGTCTGTCTATCTGTATGTCCCGGCTAATCTCCGAATCGGCTGAACCAATTTTGACGAGACGTTCAGTGGCAGATAGCTGATATTATAAGGAGGAACTTAGACTACTTTTAATTTAGAAAAAGAATTAGGGTTCCGCACAAAAACATTAAAACCCATGAAATCAGATCGTAATAAATTACACGCGGGCGAAGTTGCGGGGAACAGCTAGTTAATAGATAGGAAATGATATTTTTAATTTATAGGAGTCACGCCAACTAAACGCGCACGGCAGCGGCCTCTTCGATCGAGAAATGAAATCCGTTCCGTATATATATATATATATATATATATATATATATATATATATATATATATATATATATATATATATATATATATATCGTTTCCTATATATTAACACTTCAAAAGATATTTTTATTCATGATAAGGTCAGTATTAAGACACTTTTAAGAAATGGGTGATAATTTTATTCATTATGGTAAATTTTATTTTTTTAATAAATGTATTATTTCACTCTATTCTATATCTGTTATCACTGAGATCCTTTACCCACCTTCTGAGTGCACCATAAGGAAGGTGACATCATTACAATCACCTTGGTCTCCATTCTCCGTCAAAACAACTTCTCTAAATATGTAAAATAATATAAAATCTAAACAGCATACAAATAATGTAAGTAGCTACTAAGAAAGTATGTACTTACCAATAATGGAAACGAACTGAAGCCAGCGGATTACGGTGCGTCCGGAAAATACGTGGGTTGCCGTCAGTTAAAAATTTTAACTTAAGATTTCACATTCACGATCAGTTTTTGGATGTACGTCAGTTCGACTGAGCAGTTTAACTGACAGCACGCCCGAAAAAATCCGTGTGTTGCCTTCAGTTAAAAATTTCAACTTAAGATTTCGCATTCACGGTCAGTTTTTGGATGTACATCAGTTAAACTGTTCAGTTTAACTGACCGTGAGTGGCCACCATTACACATTTCGTTCGTCAGAAAATAAGTAACGTCTGGTGGCTCTGGGATCTTGCTCTATTAAGCCTTTGTCACAGTCTACTTGGTGATAAAAGGATGTTGATACTCAAAACCCAAAGAGAGATTCCAAATCCAAATGCAGATGCGTTGTCACCCCAGAGGCCTAAGATGGAAATGGCTCTATCCAGGTAAAAGGGGTCACCGGTTCACTTACTTTTCTATACAATGTTGAAATAACAGACTTCTAATGAGCTCAGTCGGTTATTTGCATGCTATCAAGGCATAAATAACAATATTTTTTTGTCTGTCCGTTCGAGCTAATCTTCGGAATGGCCGAATCAATTCTGATGAAACTTTATGAACAGGTTTAGTGCTATGATAGAAGTGCCTATATTTTATCCGAAAAACTTAAAGATTTATTTTTACGGAAAAACTTAAAGATGTTAAATAAATAATCTATAATTCTCTTAATTCTAAATACCGCCACATTTACGTATCATATACAAGCGAGCCGTCGGTAAACAATAAATAAAATTTGAATTGAGCTGAAGGTCGCTTTTGTTGTTGTTGAATTCTGGTATGGAAATTTCATCATCATCATCATTACAGCCCTTCACAAGTCCACTGCTGAACATAGGCCTCCCCCAAAGAATGCCACAAAGCACGGTCCTGAGCCACCTGCATCCATCGACTTCCTGCATATCTTACCAGGTCGTCACTCCATCTAGTGGGGGGACGCCCTACACTTCGCCTGCCGGTACGAGGCTGCCACTCGAGAACCTTTCTTCCCCATCGGTTGTCGGTTCTTCGAGCTATATGGCCGGCCCATTGCCACTTCAGCTTACTAATCCGTTGGGCTAATTGGAAATTTGCCCTTGTGCAATTTATGTATGTAAACTGTCTCCACAATACAAGAGAAAATCCTAGTGTGGGGGTAACTAGTAACGTTAGTAACTACTAGTACTAACTACCTAACTAACTAGTAACGTTAGTAACTACTAGTACTAACTACCTAACTAACTAGTAACGTTAGTAACGTTGTTTGAACAATATTTACCACAAAAACAATAATTGGCCTTTTTCAGGGGTTAGGAGTACTTTCCTGCCCAGGCGTCCGTTAAGGCAGGCAACAGTGAGGGTCGCACTGAACGGTATGGACAGTCAGTTTAATTACAGGCTCTGAGGCATTCTATCTTACGCCCATATTAATAAATGTTACTCGGCTCAAGTACACGCACTTGAGTACAGTCTTGAGGTTATGATCTTATTAATAAACATATCTCAAGATGCGGTTTGGATAAAGCTAATTTTACGAATTTTATCGCGTATATTAACTTATTTTATATTCCCAACGTTTCGAGCACTTTACACCACCCATGGTCACGGGGGGCACTGTAGTGTATGAAGTCCCAGTGTCATAGTTACGTCGGGAATATAAAATAAGTTAATATACGCGATAAAATCCGTAAAATTAGTTTTATTTAAATGTGTAGTGTTCGCATAAAGAGGAGAAATCATTATGCGGTTTAAGTTTACTGTGCCACACCGATTAATAAACGAAACTCGACTCTCAAGTGTGTGTAGTTGAGTGCAAGTCACAGAACAGTATTCCTAAGGACAGCTTTTTGAGATACTGTTTTATATGTTTATTAATTAGCAACGATCTTGAGATGCTGATATCGTAATGTGGGCGTATCAAATGATAACGCACTTGAGTTCGTCGTTGAGTAACGTTTACTAATACGGGCCTTAGTATTTAAAGGGGACAATGGATCTATGGGCTACAGACGCCACAAACTATCAGGCATTCTATAAGTTCCTTTGTCAATTGTT